GCTGGACTAGCGGAAAGGACAAAAGTGTAAGATGAAAACTACGACATCAAGTGCAAAAATAAAAATAAGTTGAATGTATTTACCGGAAAGGTCATCACAAGAGTTTCGCTTACCGCATCCGTCATTTAAAAAAAACCCAGAAAGCCTCTGTAGCTAGTAATAATTTTGTCAACATAAGCTTTGAAGAAGTCTCTTTATCGAGAGTGACACTGCCTTAAAACTCTGTTCGTACATTCTTCTAAAAAGTGGATGCATAGGAATCTCCCAATCAAGCTCGCGGGGCCTCTGGCGAGCTGCTATCGAGATGTGTGGTATGGCATTGTTCTGATAAAACATAATTTCCCTCCTGTTGGTGAAAACTTGGCGCTTCTGGATCATTAGTGGACGATTTCTTTTCACCAAACACATAACAAAACCTTACCGTCCAATAATTTTGCCTTGAAAACGGTTTGTGCCGACTCACTGTACTTTGACCACAACCGTTTGCATTTAACTTTGCTGTAAGTAATACTCTTTTAATCACCAGTCACCATAAGCTTCAGAAATCGTGTTATTTTGTGACGATTCAGCAGTGTTTCCATTGGACTTTTTTCTCTAACTCAACTGGCACCCATACATTGAGCTTTCTGAAGTGGTGCCAAACTGTATTTTGTGTAATGTTTAGCTCAAACACAATCAAAACGGTGCTTGCATAATAGCCAGGTTCGACAATTTTTCACAGACCCGATCTTCTAAACTTACCAGAACGATATCGACGAAATCAAAATTGGGAATGATTGACTGTTTCAGTATCAGAACTATAAACATTATTCACAACTGCAGACTTGTGTCTTTATCTTTTCCGAAAAAAAGATGTAGAACATGTGTACTTTCTCTTTGATGGAGCCCATCCTTGACATACCCTCAAACATTGCTGGGCTAAGTGTTCACGAAAGTCATCTATAGCAAAAATATTTGTCACTTGAGGTGATAAACGTTCATGTATACACGTATGTGCGTAACAAAATACCGACCAATAAAAAATACCAAATAAATTGAATAAGCTTTAAGTGACGTGTAGACTAATTGATTTAAATTTTGTATTTGATTTGAAAAAGTTCTCTTATTTATGCCAATTCCGTTTGAAATATGACAAACATGTTGGATGTTCATTAAGTTAAGTTGATTACTTTGAGGCAAATGTCACAAACGGCTTTTAATTAGAACAATTATAGCTTACAGCTTAATAGAGAGGGAAAATATGTTTAAATGATTAACTGAATTAAAAAATGGTACAGGCATATTTTTATAAAAAAAAATTGCAGTTGCGAGTGACCAAAGCAAATATTGCTATTAAAAATTAGTAGTAAAAGTAAACATTTTTATATAAATTACATACATACATATGCATCTAAAGTGTGTTTCAAACAAACGCAATCCGATAGCGACTGCCTACGTAAATACTTGTATGTGTGTGCATTTACGCAGAATTTTGTGAAAAAAAACGCACTACGAGAAATTGTTAAAGCAAAATTATACTTGTCACATAAGCTTAACTATATTTACGAGTATTTTCCAGTTTCTGCAGAGTGCGCGGCAAGCAGAACACGTAGAAAATAATAAAAACAAAAATTTATATAAAATTTTTAAAATTGAACGTAGCGAAAAAAACGTTTGTATATTTTCGGCCAATTAAAAGCGCCAGCGAATTTTCCATCAATTAAACGTTGCAGCTGCCAAGGCCAATAAAAGTCACCGAATGGCAAATAGTTGAAGGCAGCCCCATAGCAGTTTGGTCATAGAGCAGTGTGGCGGTGTGCTATGCCTGCTGCTGCAATTGTTGGAGTAGTAACCGCCCATCACACCAATTCAGTCGATGAATGTGCAGCGATTGCACACTCGTTGGTACGTAAAATTACAGTGTGCTTCATGCAACTTCGCCAATACACCGACACATGCAGCTCGCGGCTTGCACTGCAGTCAATAAGCGCCATTTTCAATTACACATTCAAATTAGTTGTGCGCGATGCACACCGCCAGTACTTACTTAGTTACTGTCAACGAGTTGTGAATAACACAGCGCTTAAGAGGACAAGGCGGCTATGTATTGTGTGGGTGTGCTAATGGAAGTGCGAGGATTGGCAAATGTGCGCTATATATGTATAAGAATATAAAAAAAGGTATGGTATATTTTGGTACAATCGCATAAGTACCTCGGCAGAAATGAGTTGGAAACCTGTTATTTAATATTTCTATGAAAAATCTTCATTAAAATATTAGAATTATAAAAAAAAATCCGCATGAAAAAATGAAGGTAAAAAAAATTTTGGATGGGTAACACGCATAGGCATATACCATGCGGTAATTTATTTGAATATTGGCCACGGTTAGAAGAACTAAATTTATATATAGATTACACTCCTGAAGAAGAAACGAATGGTGTCGAAGCGCAAGGGAGGTAGAAAAAGAAAAATTTTTTGCTTTAATTTAATGGCCTTAAAGCTCCAAATATATTACCTAAATTAATGATATTTTTATATTATTTTAGATATTGACATTGGATAGTGACTAAATAATTTAAAAAAAATAATTTTACATTATTTTTTCTAACTGCGGTTGCTCTTCAGCAAAAAATTAAAATCCCTCTTAACGTATTTCTATTATGAGCTCTCCACCAACTAAATATAAACTTTCGGCCCCTACAAAATGTTATGTATAACAGACCAGAAAGTCTAAGTTCGTATGAAACCAAAGATTGAGTTTCTTTATGCATATATTAAGTCCACGAATTGGTCAAAAATAGAAGTTATGTTATTTTAGAAGGAGGTTTGTTTCTGAACCTAAATCAGCCATTGTTGGAAGGAATAACTTATAGCACATCATTCCATCGTCTGCGTTATTCGCCTTTGCCCAAGCGCAAAATACCATAATTCGTTAGCAGAACTTTACTCTCGAAGATGGAAGGCCGACTCAAAGATGTTGACATAAGAAGGAAATGATGAGGGACTTGTAGAGTTCGTTTTTTAAACGTAGAGAAAGAATTTTACTTTTGAATTGCCTACACAGTGCGAAATAGCATCTGTTAGCAAGAGAAATTCTGCACTGGACTTCAAGGTTGACACTGTTATTTGTTTTAAAGCTGGTTTCAAGATAGACGAAATTATATACGACCTCGAAGTAATGACTGTCAACAGTATCGTGAAAGTCAATTCACGAATGCGGTGACTGTTTGTTTGATGATAGGAGATATTTCGACTTTTAACTTCTCTCCAATATCATTCTGTTTGCTTCTTTATTAAGTTTGGAGAAAGCAGAACTTACCTCGCTGGTGCGGGAGATATTGCAATTCCTTGATTTCTTCGTTCTGTGCAGAGGTTTCAGGGATATGCTTTTTCAAACCAAAATTGGGTGGTTTCTCGCCCATCTCTAGGTTTCCACAGCTCATGTTTTCCATTATCGATATAGAGTCTAACAATTATGTTGCTTTAATTGCATATTTAGTTGCTGAAGTTTTGCAATTTTTCGTATTTTTCGAAAGTATCGTCATATGTATAATTGCGTCCGTTCTTGTAACGGAATGGCCAAGTTTCATGAAAATATCTCAATCCATACTTGAGTTATCGTGTACATAGACGAACAGACGGCCAAGCGTGCCCGAAAGAATTCGTCTAGGCATTAAACGAAGTTTAATATCGATACTTTTATACTTATTATTTTTGAAACATTATTTATTTAATTCGGTTTATTAATTAAATAATTTTTTTTTTGATATTAATATCTTTATTTTTTCACGTTTGGAAGTTCCCTAGAATACCCTCTTCTTCATTGAGCTGATTGTCCGGTACTGTCGGAATTTACATTCCATTTTTTTTAACCATTTTTTAATGACTGACGCATCAATCTACAGTCTAAACCACTAGTCGTAGTGGCCTAAAACTTAAAAGGCGTATGACGTATGCGGAAAGGAACAATTTTCGGCCGGGAAGTGGGATCGATTCGATGGTTCTAACTCTAAATAATTATTAGTTATAATGAAATTAATAATGTAATAAACTTAATTTACCATCTAAAAGTCCCATGTGGAGGAAGTCGTGGGCAAACTCTTTGTCCGATATATTTTTTGTGAAAAATCATTCAAAATTAAGTAAATATTAAATAGGCCTTTTGTCGAATTAGTGTCATAACTGAGTGGATTACTGCTTGCTTATCCCTTTCTATTTTGGATGTGTACACTTCGTGTGGAATATGAGCCGATGTGCTGGAGTTCCTATTCCCTTTCGCTAATTTATCAACTTGCGTCAAAGTGAGGCTATCTTGTGATCACTTTTATGGAAAATGGCTGTCAATATGGCTTTGGATGAGAATCCAGATTATAGAGCTATCCAGAAGACCTGCTGACTAGCTTAAAGTCTCTCGTGTTCACGCTTGCTTTCTATATCTCTCTTTGGTTATTCGTTAGGGATATATCAAAATATACGCTGTAGATTTAGGTGATATCCTCATCTTCTGTACACCTCTTCAGTGTGCTGTTTTATTGTAGTACAACGCCATACCCATATAGTTTTCCGTTGCACAACCCTTCTCCTTAAGCCTGATCACGTTATATTTAGAAACCCCGACAGTTCAGTAGTTTTCCATCGCTTCATGTACCTTTTGGGTGCTTATTGGTGTATATATGTAAACATTAACTGCAATATCCATGTACCGTTGTATACACTACAGTTTATGTCATTTGAAATTTTCCTATTGTACATGCACATAAAATACAAACTAAAAGAAAAAACCTACATAAAATAACTTCAAAAAAATAAAAAAAATCATATTACCTAAATGCTGCCATGTATTAGTGAATATATACATACATACAAATATACATATATGCATTTATATGCTTTCTTGTGGTCGATAACAATGATGTTTTAATTGACTTAGTTTTCCGTTTTGCAAAACGTCCGTTTATTGGTGGTTTCAATTTTAAAAGCATTTAATAACGAATCGTTCTCGTACTCTCCTTCGCTTACCTGAAGAACTCCTGTCCATCCTTATACCACTTAACCGAGTTTAATGTGCGGTTACCCATTTCATAGCTACAAAACAGTTTTGCCTTCTGGCCGGCATCGATTATACGCGGGACGGATAGATTTGAGAGGTTGAGCGCTTGATTCAGGTGAATGTCTGAAAAATAAAAAGGTGGAAAATTCATTAAATATAGGCATTTCATGTTATTAAATGAATAATAATGACACGAAGTAAAGAAAGGTTTTCACTCGATTGAGTTAAGTTAGTTTGTGCTAGTAGCATAAATAATGCTTACGGGATAATTGCGCCGTGTTGAAAACCGAACGTCTGACGTTTCGTCTTTTCTCCATTGTGTGAAGCAGGTTTGTTATCCATTCTTCTCCATGCGTATAGCACATCGAGAATGACGAACAAATTAAAGTGCTTTGATCCTGTTCGTAGAGAAAGGATTTTCTCTTCGATTGCTTACGCTCCAAAGCAGCAACTATTCGCAAGAGCGATTTTTCATTGAGTTTCAAGACTCTCATTGTTGTTGATATCAACACTGCTTTATAGATAGTCGACTTTGCATAAAACCTTTGTAATCCGCGTGCCCTGTTTCAATCTGCTGTATTTAGGCTTGAGACTCAAGATGCTCTCGTTCGCTACTAGAAAAAATTGAGGATGAGTTCGGACAAAAAGAGCTGCAGATTCTTATGCGAACTAACCAAATGGCGTCTACACCACTTCCTTAAATAATTGAAGAGAGGCCATCACAGCCAAAAAATTTGTTGTATTGGGCGCTACTTGGGCCCGCGGTACAATTGGACATTACTTGTCTGGAGCCGACAACGTCGGAACTGTCATGTATGATAAGCGAATTCGTTCTGCCTGCAATTGAAGAATACGACTTGGACAACATATTCTATCAACAAGATCATGCACATGCCACACAACACGAGTAAATATAATATATATATATATATTTCCCGGTCATATAATCTCTCGTCTTGGCGCTGTCGATTGGCCAACGAGACTGTGAGATTTGACATCGTTGGTCTTGTGCTTTTATGGCGTACGCAGAATATAGTGTTTATACGTATAAACATTTAAGTTGTAAGTACGTGAAGAGCAACATCAGTCAAGTTAAGGCTGAGATAACGCCTAACGAAGTGTGCCAGAATGTGAAGTTTCTCTCAAACGGACCTAATTTGAGAAAATTCGCTAGGCGAATTCGCGTTTATTTTTTGAAGCCGCAAAATAGATAACCCTGTATTTATTATTTCGATAACTATACATTTACTGGAATATCTTTCGCTTATCTAAATACTTTTATGTGTTTTTCTTCAAAATATGATTTCAGCCAAATTAAAGTTAGAAAAACTTCCTTAACTGGTATTGGCATTCCACTGAATCTCATCACCGTAAAATGAGATTAAGCTGAGTGAAATACGAATTTTACATAGCAATTAACGCATTCATTATAATCCGATAAAGCTTACTTAGCCACATACATACATATAGAAGTAAACAAACCAAAAAGCAAGCAAAATAAATAAATGGAGCAAAAAAAATGGCATTGTATATATGAATGGATGTAAGTAAAACACAAATAAACAAACTTACATATAAATATGTTCACACTTAATACCGCATGTTTGGTTGGTCACTTATACATGGTCTACGTGTTATGTATACGTACGCATGTGATGAAAGTGGCAACAACATAAACTTGCCACACGCAAAAGCTCATAAAGAAATTAAGGGATCTACGCATTAAATGATATCTTATATTGCCACATGTATGTATGCGCATATATACACAAATTAAGCGCACGTCTCTCGCGTCAAAAAACCCACAACCATCTGACCATCTACATGCCACACCAGTCGGCAGCACGGAAATCCATTAGATGTGCGCTGAAACGTCCACAACTGCTGGGGTGAACTGACGCAAATTAGCCGCAAACACAGACAAGGCGGATGGGTGAACAGACGAATTGGAAGCTATGTATATGCATATCTATGTACATGCATACATTTGTGCACACAGATAAAGCAATGTGTGTGTAATCGTGCTTGTAAGTAGATGGCAAATAAATAGCGACGAAGCAGGCGCTAATAGTGTCGGAGGGAACATGAGCTGCAGATGTAGCTCTGATGCGCTCTCAGAGTTAGCTTACTTCTTTAATTCAACTTCGGATGGCGTTTGTTAGAGACAGTGGGTTTTTGGGAAATATTTAAGAAATTTTGGAAATTTTAGCAGAAACTATATGCATCCATACAATAACTTTAAAAGTTGTAACTTTAAAAATAATATATTAAAAGGCCATAATAAAATATGTATAGTAATTCGGTCTCAGTAGTTAATCGTAATTCAGAAAATATTTTTGGTACCGAAAAGATAATTCGACTTTTAAAGTCTGAGATCTCTATCTTTCGAAGTTTCCTGATAATTAAAAATTATTTAAAAAAATGTTTTTCTCACGACCTTGATAAGCAATTAATTTAAATGCTGGATAATTTTTTGCTGACTATATATTGCATTAGCATTTGACTATGATTAATCTCTGTTCAAAATGGGTGCCGCATTTGCTCACAGTTGACACAAAAAAGAACTTGCTGATGTATTTAAGCAGTGTTTGGGCATATTTAAGAGTAACGAACCGGAATTTTTGCAACCAGATGTGACATTGAATGAGACAGGGCTGTGAAATGTTGAATACAGAGAAATCAAAGAAATCATCTTCAAAGTGGACAGCAACTTATGCAGTACCGCATGTGGAAAATGAGAAACAGTGCACTGTGTCGCAAGCCAATCCAAAGAATGCACTTGATGAGTGAAGCCAATTCGAAGAACAAAACACCGAATTTATTGTTTTACTCCACAAGCTTTTAGCCCATTTCTCATATTAGTAAATACAATATCAAAGAACATTATGAAGAAATAAGAAATTCAAAGAAGACCAAATCAAAAGACCGCCAAATTATAACCAGCAAGCAATGTTGAGACTTCTAGAGTTAACTGCAGTACGGCATGGCGTAAAGAAATAATGACGTAGGGTGAGCTAAACTTATTTCATTTGCTAAAAATTGGAGTGCGATTGCGATATTAGTTTCGCTGTTACATGCTTCATGTTTAATTTTCTCAAAAAAATTGAAAGATTTGAGCCAACTGATTACCTGACTGACATCTTCAGTAACTCGCCTGTTAGTGTGCCGATCTTTATAATCTAATAATCTTTATAATGTTTTAATCGATTTTAAAGCTGCCATTGACAGCACAGTAAGGTGCTATATCGGAATGTATTACTCCTGCAAAACCTATACCGCTGTGCTTACTGAGGATGGACAACCCCAGAGTGCCCTCAGAATTCGGGAGGACCTCTCCGAACAGCTTGGTACCAAACGCGGTCCTGGACAGGGTTCAGTTTGATGCTGGAGAAAATAATATCACCTGCAGAAACCAATAGTCAAGGCACAATCTTTTGCAAGAGTGAAGAACTTCTGGCGTATGCCGATGAAGTTAATATCAAAGGCAATGTTACTTCTGCTTAATCCAAACTTGACAAGGAAGCGAAGCGAATGAGTCTGGTAGTGAACGAGGGCAAGTCGCAACTTTGAAGACGTACGTGATTTCGTCTAACTCCTTAAGTTGCTCATCATTCCCGTCCTTCTATATAGCGTAGAAGCGTGGATGATTTCAACATTCGATGAGTCGGATCTGGAAGTCTTTGAGAAAAAAACATTACGTTAATTGTAAAAACACTGCCTGCTATGATATTAACAGCAAACGTTAATTTTAATGTTTAGTATTATCTGCTAACGATTTAACTCTAACGAAATCATATCGTTTCGAGTAAGAACGAATTAAAAATGTACTTCGATAACTGCCTCAACGAAATGATTCAACCGAAACGAATGAACAAGTGAAAGATTTTCCTTGCTTTTTGAACTTGAAAGGCTATTAATAACAAATATTTATTTTTCTAATATTAAAGAGTTTTAGAGTTGTTTATATAAAATTTTTTTTGCTTTTATTTAGCGAACTAATGATAAAGATTTAACCGTTACTCCAAGTTTTTTTAATTTCTGCCCATATCTCTTATAGAAAAAACACTGTGTACCCTCTCGATGTTTTTGCTTTCACGAAATGTGATGAGATTTCGGCATGTGCACGTGTCACTTTCATATATCTCCATACTCCTATGTAGTTTTATACATATGTATGTATATTGCCGCGTATGACAGCAACTGTCTACCAGTCACTTTGTCCTATTTAGACGCGCCATTGCTTTAATGTGTGAATAGTCAAGCGAAAGTTAATGCCAACTTCAGCCAAAGTCGAATAGTTATTGTTATTGTTCGGCTTTCAGTGCGCACATGTTACATAATGAATACGAAAATTTGCTGACTTATAGTCCAACAGTGAATATCACTCAAACTCACAGGCAAACATTGGCACGATGACAAGTGGAACAGATGCTACAGGGCACATAAGATGGTTGTTAAGGGGGATAGAGTAGTTTATGAAATGTACATTTGACAATGCCACAAGATTAAATAGTTATTCCATTTGTAGAGAATTTCAAAGAGAAAAACAAGAAGACAAAATACAAAAGAAGAAAATAAGAATTTGCTTTCATCAGCTTTCACTGACTGCAGTCAATATCCCTTTTTTTCTTTCGTCAGCTCTTACACTAGATATGCTTGTGTGTAGAGGGGAACTGTTTTTTTAGGCATAAATCTATGTGATGGCTTTAAATGTATTACAAAACAACGACACTCACACACTTACACAGTGATAAGTAGCTTACCGCCTTAAGCTCGTTTAGGTGAATCTATTTATATTTCTTGTTAATTTCGCACACAATTACCTGCTGTTTGTATATTCTTTGTTTGGTTAGTCAATTGACTGGGCACAATTTGTGCTAAATTTCCAAATATATATACTTTAATATATATGTTTATGAAAATTAAGCATTTCATGGCCTGAAAGTACGCAATCTAAGGATACAGAATTCTGACTTTTGTAATATTTTTTTGTTAAAAATTAAAATTTTTACTATTCCTTCGATAATTACCTAAATTAGTATTGTAATACTAGTTATTTTTGGTTTTCTTATTTATGATAATTTCAAGCAGAGATACCTCTTCTGGAGGCCCTTCTGGAGATC